GAATGCGTGGGGATCGGAGAGAACGCATACATGACCGAAGGACGTACTCGCATCAAGATCACGCTCGCAGGAGCATAAGTATACTACTTCGATGCATGGGTCAGCGACTTGTCGGGTCAGGAGGCAATCTTCGGGATGGACTTCATGGTCCCGGCAGGCATCCGTCTCGATCTGGACGATGGATCATTGTGCCTCCCAGACGAGGTACGCATCCAACTATCTGGGCGTCGGCAGCTCTTCAGCGGAAACTCGAGACTGATCACGTTCGACCAACACGGTAACGTTCCAGTGGCAGGATCGGTGGAGATCGCTGTCCGGAGATCGCTGTCGGATAAGCAGAAACTGTGGGTCACCCGCGGAGATCGACGGGTCCCAACGGTGGTTAGAGGACTAGGCCGGACGCAGTATCTACGTATCACGAACGTGTCAGATCAACCAATAAAGCTACAACGCGACACCAGTACAGGAATCTGGTTGGCGGGAGATCACGTACCGCGGACCCCAGGGTACGTCTCGGTCGGATCACGAAGATATGCAGAATGGCAGAACCTGGCGTTCCAAGCCACCGCCGACGAAACACCGATAGGGGACTCGGATAAATCGTGGCTGATCCGTTGGTCGACAGACCGCAGTGCAACGCACCAACAGAGATCTTGAAGAAGGAGCCGAATCCGCGGAAGCTGATGTCGATCCAACCATCACCATGCGTGGAGACGAAGATCGAAGAACCGGCGGCAGGAGGCGAACTACTAAACCTGAACCGGATGATGCAGATCACATTGCCACGGAAGACATGAGAGTAGACCAGGAACCGATCGAGCCAAGGGATCAGACAGGTGACCAGATCAGAAGATCGGACCAGCGAAAGTGCTGGTGAAGCCGGACAGGGAAGCCGACGACGACATGGGTGACGCCGTCTGTTATCACGAGGGCGGAGACATCTTCCCGGAAGCATCGAGAACCACATGGCGGTGTTGCCGGAAGTTGTGACCACCATGAGAGAAGTCACGATAGACGATATACGGGTGGAAGATATAGATGCGACACCGGAAGGCTACGGCGCATCATATGAAAGCGGCACCACCTCTTGATCGGAGCTGGAAACGCACAACCCCCCCACTGCGCATGGGGCGATCTGCGATATCGACGTCGGGAATGCGAAACCGGTAGCACAACGTTGCCGAAAAGTAGCTCCACAATTCCGTGAGAAGTTATCCATGCTCATCAAGGGATCGCTGTCGGCTACGATCTGTTCCTGGTCTACTCTCATGTCGTGGTGCCCAGTCCGATGCGGGTTCTATCCGTGGGGATGGCGAATCTCGCAGACGTGGATCTGGTGATGTCACTTCGTCGTGGCAGGGTGGGCCTGATGCCGGAGCTGACGATCAGCCGCCTCACGGCGATAATTTATCTTCGTCTGCGCATCCAACGGCCTCGGTCCTTACTACCAAGGGTGCGTCTTCGACCGTTCCGTGTGGTGATCTGCTCTCTTCGCAAGCGTTCATGGCGCTGCCCGCCACTCGCGTGGATCGAGCACTTTGGATTCCACGCTACCGCGTCCGTGTGACTCTGGCCGTGGCCTACGTGGGGCCTTGGCCTGTCTGTCAGGTCGGTAAAATGAGCGTGTCGGAGTTGCCGTCGGTCTACTGTTCAAGTGATTTCCAAGCCTCCTTTCTGGAAGGAGAGTCCTCCTGCTCCTCACGACTGGATGAGGGACCGATCGTCAAGGGCAACGTCTCTGCCGTGTATGCCTCGGCGCGTGTTGGTCGTTACGGTACAGCCTGTCTCTTTCGTAGCCGACGGGCCTCCAGACGCGCCTCTTCGGGTTATGTCACACTGGTGGACTGAGTTGAAGGCCAAGCACCTACAGGCTTTGTGGGAGGTCTCTCACTCCTTCCCTATTCCTGAGAGTCTGAGGATCGCGGTAGCTTATTTCGCTACCCTGTACCAATGTCGCAAGCAGCGATGCTCCCGGTTAGGGGCCGCGTGGAAAAAGTTTCTGCCGTACGTGTTACGCTGCATCGAGGCTGGAGTGTGTGACTTGGCCATTTTTCTGGATCCGTACTTCTTGCATTTTCCTCGGCGTGAGGAGGCTTCCGTGTGGTATCCAGGGTTGGGCTGCGACACGCAACCCGCCAACCTGTTTCAAGCGCTTCGTGAGGTAGACGCTGCGAAACCCTGGCGCAATCAATACCGCGCCCAGATTCAAGATCACCCTGGATCGCAGCTTCCCCGATTGCCTGGCAATTCGTTCCTCTGGGTGTTCTCTGAGTTTTAGCTCTGCGTGCGGGTTTGATCCACTCCACTTCTTCTTTCTTGCTTCCTCCTTTTGTAGCGAGCCTCCATTGAGCTCGGCTTAACTAATTCAACATGACTGTCATATATTTACATGTACCCTCCACCCATCCTGTACATTCTTCTTCTCTCCGCCTGCATGTCTCTCGGTTACAGGTTGTCCGACGCCTCTTCGTGCGACTGCACGACGTTGAACCGACTACGGAACCGACTATGGTTCGTTTGAGTTCGTTCGAATTCAGCCAAGAGCGCCCCACAGTTGAGGTCGGCCTCGTCCACCCACGTGGGTTCGCGATAGCCTTTCCAAAACACTTGGAACTCTCGGTGTACGCGGCCATATCGCGTGCAGCGTCCAGGTCAGCGATCCATTCCACCTCGAATTCGTCCTCGCCCAAAGGAGTCTCCCAGCTGTCCTCAGCAAGTAGAGCTTCATCGAAGTCGACTCGATCTCCTTCCTCGACCAGCAGGGTGCAAGTTGGGCGGTCGGGGAACGCCCTCACCAGCTTTAACTTCGACAGGTGCACCACAGGGAAGATGCGGTATTCTCTTCCACTAGTCTCCACACGTGCGGCATGATCACCGATGAGCTCGGTCACACGAAAGGGCCGCGCCACATGTGGATCTGTTTCCTCGCGAACCCTTCCTTCACCCGGTCCAGGTAGAGCCATACTTGTGATCCTTGCTCGATCTTGTCCGGCCTAACTCGATAGTTATGTTGGGCAGCACTGGCTTCTATCGCCTTTCGGAGGTCGTTATTCACGACTTCTCTCGCCCGTTGATATTGCGATTGCAGACGATACCTCCTCCGGCGGGCGTCGCTGTTTTTCCGCCTTGTGGATCCAATCGGAAGCTTCGCTTCCAGCGTTGATTTTGCGTCGCACCAATGCACCAGATAAAAGGATGTGTCTCCACGCACCCGATCTTGCGCCGTGTTGAGGGCATACGTCAAGCGTTCAGCGTAGTCACCCCAGTCCTGTTGGTTGACATCGGAGACATACAGCTTCAGTGTTCTCGTCAATGTTTGCACCGTTCGTTCCGCTTTTCCATTACCCTGCGGGCGGAAGGCCATGGTGGAACTTTGCCTCATCTTCACGATCCAATTAAACGCGGGGAAGAAATATGCCATGAATCCCGGTTCCCGATCGTGCCTGATTACTTCACTTGCACAGAACCGCCTGAAGACACATTCCTCGTAATTTTCCGCCACCACTTGGGCTCCCCACGATGATCCAGCCTTGGTAATCACGTATCCGTTGAACAGGTCCGCCCAGATTAGTAACTCCGTGTTCCTCTTAAAGGACTTCGGCAGCGACGGAATGTGATCCATGGATATGACCTGGAACGGGTACGTGCCTTGCACATTCCCCGGCGATCTTCATTGATCGGTGGGTTTCCCTTTCCCTGTCTCACAATCGGTGCATTCCCCTACGTAGCGCTGGACGCTTCGGTACAGATTACGCCAGTGAAAATGCGTCCGGATTTTACGGTATGTCCTCCCGACACCCTGGCGACATCCTTCCAGGCTCGTGCGGTAATGATGGAGGAAATCCTGTTGCAAGCTTTTCGGCACCACCAGTCTGACGTCATTGTCGCGATCTTCGTCTCGTGTCAGGGTCCTCGGGCAATAAAACAATAGTCCGTAGCCGTCGACTTCACACGTTGCGGTGATCTTCGAGTACGTCTTAGCAGCTTCCTTCGATAGACCGTTCAGGTCACCTTTCAGGTACTCATTTAGATCTGCGATCCACTTCTCTTCGTCTTGTGCTTGCTTGATCCGCTGAATCCGTATGCGTCGAACAATAGATTCATCCATGGCTACTGGTGGCGAAGTCCGATTTACCGTAGATCGAGTGATCGTGTTCACACGAGTCACTGAACTGGTTGACTTCGGTTGCAGTATTTCGTGCAATCTGTCCAGCGTGCTCAAGCCCTGCCGTTCTTCCTCGGCTGTCACGATCCCGCGTTCTTCAGGTTGCAAGGCAGCACTGGCGAGCTTGTCGGCACTTCCAATCTCGCATTACGTGTACGAATACGTGCTTCGACAAAGACCGCAGTTGGTTCAACGCCTTCTGACGTAGCAGCCGCAGCCCTGGCGCCTTGCAGTTAATCTCGCCTCTCATCTGGCATATCACCAAGTTGGAGTCACCGCAGAACACAACTCGCCCCCGGGCTTGAGTCGAGAGGAGATCGAAACACAGCAGCATCCCCCGTACTCCGCCTCGTTCACTGTCAAATCAGACATGTGCTCAGACACCGCATCGAGGATCGTCCACTCGGGGAATTTCCAGAGGATCGCGCTGTGTGCGCCTCCCGCAACGCTTCACTCTCGCTGATCCGTCAAAGTTCGTCGCCAACAGGTTCTCTTCCGACTCTACGGTTGGAGGAATCATGGCTATCATCTTCCGGGGTTGCTTCTTCGAGGCAATTGCGATTAGGACCTCGTCAACTTCTGCTCGAGGAGTGATATCCGCCGCGATCGCCCCTAGGATTTCTTCTTCGCCTTTGGCACACTTCGTAATTTCCAACATCCAGCCCGACAACAATGCGGTCCACCTGCCCAATCGCCCGTCTAACCCATTCGACTTCAGGAGCCAGGCTAGCGTGGAGAAACGCGATAGCACCTTGCTCGATCTGGTCACCAACTGCGAGTAGCAGACGTCCAACATGCGAAGAAGAGCCAGGACCTCCTTATCTGCGATGCCATAGTTCAACTCGTTGGCCTTCAGCGTCCCACTGGTGAAGGTCACTGGCCAATACACGCGGCCGTGTTCCTGCATTAATACCGCCAAAACCGCCCACTTGTTAGCATAGAGGACTATGCATGACACCCACCCCGGATCGAAGTGCTTCAAGATCGAGGTGGAGATGATCTTCGCTTTGAGTATGGTGAACGCATTCATTGCTCATGTCCAGCGATAGCGTTCCTCGTCCGCTGGTGCTGTCCCCTCCTCTGGCTCTCCGGTCGACTTCAGCCGTGCGATCTGTTAGTAATCTACTTCCCGAAGCTCGTACAAGAAAGCTGCATAGACTGCAAAGTCCTCGATTAAGCGACTGTAGTAATTCAGGCTTCCGAGGAACGACTGCATCGATTTCAACTTGGTGGGGAAAGGGTGATTCGAGAAGGCTTCAAGGTCCTTCGGCTTCGCTTCCAAACCGTCTCTCGACACTTGGTGTCGCAGGTAGGTCACTTTGCGCCTACCCCAGTAGCTTTTGGCTACACTGATCGATAGGTTCCAGCGATCGCATACGTCCAGCAGATTTTCGACCTTGTTGCCCATGCTGTCCCACGCGTCTCCAGTCACAAGAATGTCATCAACGTACGATCGCCGTCACAGGGTCGACGGTTTTGGTTCTGGTTCGGGCTCTCCCTCCTCGAACATATCGAATGTCTGGACTTGATGCGCATGTGCCCATATAGGGCGTTGTCCACGATCCGCTGGTAGATCTGCGGAGTGTTCTTCAGACCGAACGGCATCCTCGCCCATTCGAATAACCCGAATGGCGTGATGAATGTTGAGATCAGTCTCACCCGCGGCGTCATTGACACGACCCAGAATCCACTCGCCATTTCAAGGGACCAATACCAAAGCAACTTGTCCAAGTCCTCGAGGAGATCGTTGATCAACAGCATCGGGTACACCATCAGCCTCACCATGTTAACCACTTGGTAATCGATGCAGAGGCGGATATCCATGCCGTTGGCCTTGATGATGACCACTATTGGTGACGACCAAGGTGAGATTGATGGAGCGATGATCGTAGCCGACAGCGATCCCTTGATGAACATGAATAACTTCTCACGGAACTGGGGAGCTACCCTTCGGCAACGTTGTGCTACCGGTTTCGCATTCCCGACGTCGATATCGCAGATCGCCCCATG